CCGCGAAAGAAGCCCCGTCGCTTGAAGGCCATGGCACACGCCATGGCCCACGACTTGGAGTCGGCTATTTGCAGCCACTGCTACTGTTACTACTACTACTACTACTACTACTACTACTACTACTACTACTGCCTCAAACACGTCGCGCGAAAGTGAGGGCGAAAGTCTCGCGAAAGGAAAACAATAATCCGCGAAGAAACCATTTCCAGAAACAAGAATATTGATCAACGTTCAACTATATATATATATATATACATATGTATGTATATATATATATATATGTACAATACATGTCAATACAACACACAAAGAATGCAAGGCGCCCCTAATTTTAAGAACATCCGAAATGGTGCAGAGCAAGGAAAAGACCCAGAAGGAAAACCTGCGGCTTCTCGAGCAAGTGCACGTTCTGGATGGACTGTCCAACGCGCAGAAGTCGCACGTGGGATCTGTGCCTCGGTTGGAGTCCGGGTGCAGTTCAGGGCGTCGCATGCGTTTTGTCAATTCTTCTTTCGTCATCGTCAGTCTTCATTGATTCAGTTGTCTTCGAGGCAGTCTTACTCACATGTAGTAGCAGGAGCAGGAGCAGTGGCGGTGGCGCTGGCGGTGGCAGAGGCAGCAGTAGTAGTAGTGGTAGGAGGAGCAGCGGCAGGAGGAGGAGTAGTAGTAGTAGGAGGAGAGGAGGAGGAGAAGGAGGAGGGAGTCATCGTACGAGTTGATGGTGATGGTGGTGGCGGTGGTGGTGGTAGGGGTGGTGGTGCTGTGGTGTGGTGGTGGTGGTGGTGGTGGTGGTGGTGGTGGTCGTGGTATATTGGTAGAAAGTGGTAGTAGTAGCGGTGGTGTTACGACGCCGCCAGCGATCAGCTCTGGCACAATCTCGACTAATACCGCGATAGATGTAGACCCCCCCTTTCCACGGACCCCTGAAGGCCAAAGGCCTCTTGCCAGATTACACCGTAGCACCTTGACGCTGGCGAGGTAGCGCTGCTCAACGAAACCTTCACAGCAGGGTCGGTGGTGGCGGAGTCCGGGGAGGAGTGCAAGCGGCTGTGGGTTGTGCCAGGCTCAGACTTGGACAAGCTTTGCAGACCCTGATGCACGCTCTGAAACCCTAAACCCTACAGCCGGTAAACCCTCGACGCCCTAAACCCTAAACCCTAAACCCTAAACCCTAAACCCTAAACCCCTAAACCCTAAAGCCCTAAACCCTAAACCCTAAATCCTAAACAGGCCGTGTTGCCTCCCTCTTCGCAGATTCTCCGGAGTTCCCAGCTTCCGAAGCAGCGGGCCGGCTTTCAGCGTAGACTCGACCAACTCCACGAATCCACCCCCAAACCCTGAACCCTACTTGGAAGTTTCATGGGTAGTTATAAGTAGGGTTATAAGTAGGGTAACTATAATGATAGCCCTATTAGGGGGCTCATAACCCCACTTATAACTACCCATGAACCTCCAAGTAGAGCCGTGAGAGGCCCACCCAAAGCCTTAAACCCTAAACCCTAAACCCTAAACCCTAAACCCTAAACCCTAAACCCTAAACCCTAAACCCTAAACTCAAGTCCCAGGTGAAGAGGGGCACCCTCAGCGTCGTGGATGGCGGGGAGCGGATTGGCAAGAAGCTGTCCGGGGGCGACAAGGTCCGCGAGGCCCGACATGCGTAATGTAGGGGCCTGAATAATTACCTATACTTTTTTTTTTGTTTTTAAGGGTTTCCTTGTTAAACTAATAGTATAATATACCCCAAAACTCCCAGGACCCTATTCTAATTATGAAGGCCCCTACATGAATCTGTTGGTATTCAGGCGGGATATAACCCTCTGAGTTTGAAGTTGGGTCGGGTTCTCGGGATCAGTCTCAAGGGCTGAAGTTGTGGTACGCGGTGTATCCAGAATCGAATACAGGGGCCTTTATACTTAGAGCAAGGTTTTGGGGTATATCATACTATAATTATAGTAAGGAACCACCAAAATCCTCTTCTAATTATTAAAGCCCCTACATTAAATTGTAGGGTCCGTTTTGCGTTCTGCTCCCTCATGCACAGGTGGGGGTTTCCGAAAATAGGGGACCCTAATATAGTACCCTAAATAATAGGATCCTTATTATAAGGACCCCCAAAATTAAGGTACCCCTAATATTCGGAAAGTCCCAGGTGGGTGCAGGCGGCTGCTTTGGCGAGCAGTATCTCAAGATCGATGCCTCCAAGAGGATCGAGGAGCGGGTTTAGGGTTTAGGGTTTAGGGGATTGGGAGGTGAAGCTCGGATGTCCTTTCACCGTCAAGTGTGGAGGGTGTCAGGGTTTCCACTGCTGAAATTCGAGGCCCGAGCTATGTGAAGCTAGACTCCGTGCCGAGCGACTTCATCGCCCGACCCCATAACAGAGCCAACCCTGGAATCCTGAAGGTGTTGGTTGGTGTTCTGACTCCGGCTAGGTAACTCACCTTGGGCTCGTATCTCGCAAGGGCCCACCGGAGGTTGGTGTTGGTGTCGTGACTCCGGCCGGGTAACTCACCTTGGGCTCGTATCTCGCAAGGGTCCACCTGAGGTTTGGTTGCAGAGACCAACCTGCTAGATTTTGATCGTGATTACCACTTGGGTTTCTATCATGCCGCTGCTGCCGCTGCTGCCGCTGCTGCCGCTGCTGCTTCTGCTTCTATCTGCTGCTGCTGCTGCTGCTGCTGCTGCCCCGGATGCTGCTGCTGTCGCTGCTGCCGCTGCCGAGACTGCTGCCGCTGCTGCCGCTGCTGCTGCTGCTGCTGCTGCCGCTGCTGCCGCTGGCTGCTGCCGCTGCTGCCGCTGCTGCTGCTGCTGCTGCTGCTGCTGCTGCTGCTGCTGCTGCTGCTGCTGCTATTATGACGGCTGCGCTTCCTCCCGCGCCTGCTGCTGCTGATTGTAGATTCT